ACAGGCTAGACCCCCAGAACGCGGCGGATGTGGGTGTTTTAAAATTAATAGACTATCTCATATCATTTAATAGACTATCCCATATATCTAATTCGACTATGGGTTTAGTTATTTGACTATTGGGCCGAAGAATCAACAAAATCCTAGATCTGATAAGTGATGGCGGTGGATTTGTGTTTTAATATTGTTAGACTACCCCATATCATGTAATAGACTATCTCATTGATCTAATTCGACTATGGATCTCGTTAATCGACTATGGATCCCGTATTATTCAACCACATAGGATATTAATAATTTCAATATAGTACATTAATCTGCTATGATAGTATATTACGGTTATAGTAGTGATATGAAATTGTGTTACAAACAATATACCACTGAAATGACAAGAACATTGAGAACAAACCCAACGTAAAGTAATTCCAACATAACCAATAAAATAGTACATTAATAATCTCATAATTTCAATCTAGGGTTTTGATAAAATACTTAAAACACATCATAACACAATCAAACCAATATGTCGAGTTAAAAAACTCTAGTACATTAATAATCTCATAATAGTATAATAAAATGATAATGGTGTAGTATCATGCGGTATTCATAATAGTATACTACTGTATTACAACGGTTTAACACTTAACCGAAGTTACCGAGCCATTACATCGTAAACACGACATTAATTAAACATATCAAATCTTAGGGTGGTTTGGAAAATAACAACCATCGGAATCATTTGAATTCATTTAGTTTATGTCATCGTCGCTATCATCAGGAATGCAGTCGACTTCTTCTTCGAACAACTGCACAAAGCCTGCATTCAATGTCTCACTTCCAGTGGCATCAACGGCTCCAACTAGTTCACCCCCACCCCATGTTCCATCATCATCAGAAATAACAACTTCAACATCATATGAACCTAAAATCATGAAACGAACTTAAAAATGCTGAATACTAAAAATGATTAAATATAATGCAAATACATTTGAATGACAATAAATTAACATCATCAAAAATAAACTTGAAAATGCATAATCCACACAATCAGTTGAAAAAGACTACGGAAATGTATTTCAATGTACTACCGAGCACACTAAAATCAACTGTTATAAACAAATAAACCAACTATCACTCGATTATTGCGTAAACCAACTACGACACTCATATAAAACAACTCTGGTCCGACTGCGTGAACCATCCTCTGCCAACTCTGTGAATCATCTTCCAAACAAACATCATCAGCCAAAATAAGGATGTATATGTGACGACGTAATTTTTTTATTTTTTAAGAAACGATCTACTTTACTACCAATATAATCAACGTATCAACACAAATCTTAAAAACGAATACGTACAGCGAAAAAACAACGAAATAAAAACGAAAAAATACAGCGAAAAATAAAACGAAAAAAAAAACCGAAAAAAACAAAAAAAACACATTCATACCCGCTTAACGACGGACAACGATGAACGCTCAAATCTGAACCTATTTCCACGCCGGTGAAAAAACGATGGAAAACGAAACGATGAAAAACGATGAAACGCTGGATAAAATTCTTCAAAACCGGTTCAAATCCGAACCCGATTGAAAACGATGAAAAACGATGAAAAACGATGGAAAACGATGAAAAACGATGAACGTTCAAATCCGAACTAATCTTCAAATCCGATGGAAAACGATGAAACGCTGGATAAATTCTTCAAAACCGGTTGTACAAGATTTGATAGAAACCGCCAATAAACTCACGTAATTTTATTCCGTGATTTTAGGCAACGTATCAGCAATCTCATATCACATAGTTAAGGAAGTAAATACCGTTCAAAAATAAAACAGAATAAAAAAGGGGTATTAAAGGGAAATTACATAATATATTTTGCCAAGTTGACAAATTTGGGTGTATCTCAAAAAGGGAAAAATTAATTGGATCTACCTCACTAGAAAATATGAACAAGGGGGTTATTCCTAATAAACCCAGTAATAAATTCAGATTAAAGTATGAAAAAGAATAAAACAAATGAAGACCAAAATATTAATATCAGGACCCAATTATACACACGATAACAACAGTCACATTTTACAGAGTACAAAGTGATGTTTACTGGGCTTAATCTGCGATTACAATTTCTTTCCTTTTTATTTATAGGGTAAATTTCACTTCCCGCCCTTATACTTTGGCTCGTTATCACTTTATCCCCTTCTACTTTCAATTGCATTGATTTGCCCCATGTACTTGAAAAATTGTAAAAATGTAATTTGTAAATAAAACATGTGGGAAAGTTTTACTAGATTCTAGATTTGAGAATATTTAAATAGCATGCCATGGAAATACTAAATATTAAACAATAACATCATTTTTAAAACAAATTAAAGTACACTTTTAAACTAGAAAAACATAAACCAAGAGGGCTGTTATTTAATTCCACACAGTGCACCTATAGTGTTGGATGTGGGTTCCTTTATTACCAAAAAAATATAATAATCGCACTTTTTTGTGTTCTATTTTCTGATTAATTCCGCTTCTCACAACCTATTTATCATAACAGTCGAAAAATAATTACAAACCATACGAGAGACGTAAACCACACTAGGCTAATCATGGGTGACAAGCGTGACCTAGCGATCATTAGCAAGGGAATTCAAACCAGCTGAGTCAATTGACACAGGCTCAGTTGTTCCAACCGCTCGACTAGGTCATTCCTCAGTTATGTAATTGTTGAGTTCATAGTAGCTTCACTAATGGCTCTAATTTCCAAACTTTTGGTGGATATGTTCAAACGTATGTAGCACGGAAATTTCAACTTCTTAGCGTTTCCGCATTTCTGCGGAAACGTTTTGTGTCGGAACCTCGAAGACACCTGCCGGACACTATATGGGGGGCACTTTGCAATTTCTAAAAAGTTAGAAACATGTTTAAATATCAAATTTTCGAATATTTTTGTTGTTTCTCAAATTATTTACATGATTTAATGATCAATTGCAAGTTAATAGTTGATAGTAAAATTTATTTGAATATGTTTGTATAAAATTATACCAAAATAATTTATTGATAAATAAAAACTTATATATGTTTATATAGAATATTTATAAAAACAACCATATATACTTTTAATAGTTACATGATTCTCACAAGTTTATGTATCCTCATTTTCAGAACATTAAATTTTCCCGTCTCCTCGTGTTGCCGTTTCCGTGTCCGTGCTACATAGGTTCTAACTGAAATATAAAAAGCAAAAAATGGTATGTCACAATCCACCGAAAATCTCTCAAAAATCTTTAATTTCACATTTTCTATGGGGAAACAGTGAATTAAAGATGCAAAATCTTTACAGTCAGTAAACTACTTCTTGTCACAAAATCAGGAAATATTTACCAATAGTTGCAATAAAATTAGTTTCACAAGCAAACACAAAATTGTCTTAGAAAGAACCACCAATTAAATTAAGTGAACTTTAGGATGAATTATTGAATTGATCAAAATGAAAAAGTGAAATTAAAGTGAATTAAGATTTTGAGTCATTTTTAGTTTGATTGTCTTTGATTTGGTATGTAATTTTATAGTGGCATGGGGAATAGGGAATGGGCATTTTACCCTCTAAAACACGTCTTGCCTTTAAATGTTCATTTACACAATTAGAATGGTGCACGGCCGACCCGAACCTCTCCTGCCCGGAGGAACTGCGGGTGACAACGAGCGGAGGCGTTGTGGTGGCATGCAAGAGCGTGCGCCTTGCTTTCAACGCCAAGGAGTACTGTTGTACCGGAGCGTACAATAGTCCGCAGCTGTGCAAGCCCACCGCTTACTCCCGGTTCTTCAAGACCGGTTGCCCGAGCGCTTACAGCTATGCGTTCGATGATGGCAGCCTCTTTACTTGCATTGGGAGATACTACGTTATCCAGTTCTGCTAGTTATATTTATTACTCTTTCTGTCCTATATTATATGTTTTTTTTGAGAGTTTTTGTTTGTCTCAAATTATTTGTTATTTAGATTTTAATGAAGTATTAATTGCATTATTTTCAATTTTACCCTTTTATCACTTCTAATTAATTAGTTGAAAAATAATTAATGTCAAGGATATTTCAGTAATTTTATATGTTCTTTTACTATAATATATGCACATTTATTAATTTCCTTAATATGTGCACAACAACCAAAACGACAATTAAATTGGGATGGAGGAAGTATTATTTTAGTTTTATGTTTGAAAATTTTTATTAGATTAAAATGGAGGAAAACTATGAATTAAAGTGACAGTACAAAGTGGAATTTATTATTTATCCCTTTAGATGTTGCGGTTGTGTCCAAATATGAGATGCCCTAACAATTAAATTTTTGCAATGCATCACAAAAAATATATTTTCATTTTTCATATTTCGTATGCATCGCATTAACATCCTTTTTTTATATTTGTAGAGTTGTTTGATTTACATTTTCGACGTGTTTTAGTTATTAAAAAAAGTTGAAATTATAATTGATTCACGTGCATCGCACGGGTGAGTTACTAGTGCATTTTAAAATTTCGATATATCATTCTAAAAATCAGCTGCTTTACATAATATTTCCGTAAATAATATATTGAAGAAAAATCATGGAAATTTATAAAATTTTTCCATTTATATCAACTCAATCAACCCGGATTTCTTGCACGTTAATTGATAATATATATCAACTAGTAACTCACCCGTGCGATGCACGGGGTCAATTCTAATTTCAATTTTGTTAATGACTAAAACACGTCGATGATGTAAATCAAACACCTTTATTAATGAAAAGATGATTCTAATGCGATGCACGGGTTAATATAAAAAATGAGAATATGTTTTAAATTAATAAAATAGTCGAACAAAAACTTTGAACAGCTGATATATAATACGATATAATCTTAAAATTTAAAAACAATATCAATTCCATTTGATTTAAGTACCGAGATAACAAAATAAATGATAAAAGAAAATATAAAATACAAAAATTGTGATATAAAAAATAAGATACATTATGTCACCCGAATGATACAACTAACTCGTCCAATACACTCGGATCCTTAACATGAACTTAATTATCAAAGTAGTGTTTTACGGCATATGCATGACATCGTCATACTCATCTAAGTACCTGCGAGTACATGTAAATTTTTCCATGTTCAAATGC